TTGAGTGGGTAAATGATAGCTCTCTCTCTCTCTCTCTCTCTCTCTCTCTCTCTCATTTCTCTCTTACAGAAAATAAAAAACCGGGTAAAGGTTCCAAAGGCTGCAAGAAGGTAAGTTGTCCTTACCTTCAGATGAGGTATGCCCATTGTTGGGCCTCTGGTCAGTAGTTATGGGTGACGCTTTTTTTCCCTACTCAGTGGCTGTAGCAGTCACCTGTATATTATTAAGTTTCTGCCCTAAGCCTTATACTCCTTTGTGCTGGATTTACCTAAATAAAAAACCGGGTAAAGGTTCCAAAGGCTGCAAGAAGGTAAGTTGTCCTTACCTTCAGATGAGGTATGCCCATTGTTGGGCCTCTGGTCAGTAGTTATGGGTGACGCTTTTTTTCCCTACTCAGTGGCTGTAGCAGTCACCTGTATATTATTAAGTTTCTGCCCTAAGCCTTATACTCCTTTGTGCTGGATTTACCTTTTAGGGATTATTGCCATCCACATTTTTTTTTCGTTGCTGGGAATCAGACCCAGGGCCTTGAGCATGCCAGGCAAGTGCTCTCCCACTGAGCCCTATGCTCAGCCCATAATTTGTATTTCTGACAAGTTCTCAGGTACTGTTGCTGTAGGTCCAAAGGTCCCATTTTGGGTGCTGTTTGTCAGGAATGCTTTCCCTTTGGCCTTGGCAAAGTGGTCCCCAGCACTTTGCTGTCATTCCTGCTCCACAATGGGGAAGGCTCTAACTCCAGCCAGGCAAGGATATTTCTGGGCAGACCCCCCAAAAAAAAAACCCCTGCATGTTTCTCTGTAGTGGGGTGGGGTGGTTTCTATTGATTACTAATTCTTTAATTTTCCTTTTCTTGCATGGTGACCAGCCTGCAAAGCAAAGTGTGAAGAAAGTAGTCTCCAGACAGTCATCTGCTTCCCAGTTTGTTCATTGTAATGATCATGCCAGTCGGGAAGCTGAATTAAAGAAGAAAAGGGTGAGCATTTTATCTTTGGCGAGAAAGGGCCTGACTTGACTATCTGGTCTGTAGAAAGACAGGGGCCAGAGGTGTTGGGTTTCTTGATGCTGTTTGTGAATGGGGAAAGTGAGGCAGGTTACTGTGATAACGATAGGGATTTAACTTCTCTATTTGGTCATCTAATTCTAACCTCCCAATACATTGCTGTCTGACTTACATTCCCACTGTTCCACTGAAATCTCTTCTGCTAGCCTCTCTTCCACTGGCCTATCCTCCACATTGCCTACCCTCATGGGTGTTTTCTCCCATCACCTTAGAGGAATTTTCAGCATTTTGAGACCATGCTTTCCTCAAAGTACACTTATTTTGACTTTGTCATCTCCCTTTCCTGGATGCTTCCTTCCTCTGTGACCAGCCTTTTTGTCTCTTGCTGCTTTTTTCTTGTTTTGTTTATTTGTTGAGGCAGGGTCTTACTTTGTTGCACAGGCTGGTCTTGAATGCCTGGACACATGAAATCCTTTCATTGCAAACCCTGAGTGGTTGCGGCTGCACAAGTGTGCAAGTTTCTCTTTCTGCTTGATACATCCTAAGATCTTATTCTCTTTTCTCATTTGGATTTAAGTGGTTTCATATGCTTAGAATGCATTCTCTATCCTAGATCCTCTTTTTATTTTTCTTGCTTTTTTCTATGTATTTTTTTGTATATTTCAAATTTTTCATTATTATTATTATTGTGTGTGTGGGGGGGTGCAGGTCTGTGCATGCCATGATGTACACACGTGAAGGTAAGAGGATAATTTTTGGGAATCGGTTCTGTCTTTCCATCATGGATTCTGAGAATCAAACTCAGGACATCAGGCTTGTACAGGAAGCATTTTTACCCACTGAGCCGCCTCACTGATGCTTTTTTATTTTTTGAGATTGGCTTGAATGCTATAGTGGTCTTGCTATGTAGCTCTGGCTGGCCTGGTATCCTGGTGTCACTATATGGCCCAGGTTGGCCTTGACCTCATGGCAATCCCCCTGCCTCAACCTCTCAAGTGCTAGAATTACAAATGAGTGCTACCGTGTCCAACTTCTAATTTTTCCTCTACCTCGCCCTCCTGTAATCTCTCTGTCTTTTTCTTCACAAATATTCCTGCTGTCCTGTCTCTCTTCTTCCAGTATTCCTGCTGCTTCCATCTGTTACCCATCTATGGTTTGGGCTGCAAACCTAGTCAGTTTCAATGACAGTGTCTGCTCACTTGTTAGGTTGAAGAGATGAGGGAGAAGCAGCAAGTTGCCCGGGAGCAAGAGAGACAAAGACATAGGACCCTCGAGAGCTATTGTCAGGATGTCCTGAAACGTCAGCAGGAATTTGAAAACAAGGTAAGAGAGTAGTCTTGCTGGTGGGTGGGATTGGGGTGGATTTGGCTGTTCTGCTAAATAAAAGAAGGAAAGTTATAAGGTTGGTGGAGGGGAAGAAATGAGTAAGTACAGAGAAGGAAAACAATTAGAAAGAAAGGGAAAAATAAGAGGGAGAAAAAGGGGCCATTTTGCACCCTGCCTGTGACTGGGCATCTGTGGAGAATGCCTCTCTCAAGCTTGAGCCCAAAGATGAATGGTATGGAGTTAGAGACTAGGAGAGGTATGACCAAGGACATGGGGGAAGGGAGGGCGGGAGAATGTGAAGGGAGGATTGAGAAGACAGAGGAATGTATTTTGGATCTCATTTTCCTTGTGGGCCTTCTTTCTCCCTTTCTGCCATTTGTTGTCTCACAAACACAAGATGCACTTGCCAGCTCAGACTACCTTCCGACACATACTAAAGGCTTTGCTTCCCCATCCCATGTTCCCCTTAGCTTGTTTTTCTCACACTTTCTCCTTTCCTCCCTCCTTTATATATACCTGTGGTCAGGCAGGCCTCTGGCTGGTGATCAAATGCACATGTACAGCTAGGAACACATATGTGCCTAACTCTGATTCTAGTTTGCCAGCATTTTTGCTTGGTCAGTGCTACTTTAAAATAATTTTGAAAAAATATTATTTTATGTTATGTGTATGAGTATATTACTTGCATGTAGGTTGGTGGACCCATGTCATGCAGTGCCCACGAAGGTCAGAAGAGGGAGTTGGATTCCCTGGAACTAGAGTTATGGATGGTTGTTAGGCGCCATGTGGGTGCAGAGAATCAAACCTGGGTCCTCTGCAAGAGCAGCCAGTGCTCTTAACCGTTGAGCCATCTCTCCATCCAGCCCCTTTAAAAGAATTTTTCACTTTTTGGTCTTTTTGAGATAGGATCTCCCTGTAAGCCCCAGCTGACCTGGAACTCATATGTAGACCCAGCTGGCCTTGAACTCACAGATATCCACCTGCCTCTGCCTCCTGAGTGCTGGGATTAAAGGCGTGCACCACCACACCTGGCTAAGAATTTTTAAAAATTATCCATTATTGGAGATAGAGAGATGGAAGCAGTTAAGAGCACTGTTCTTGCAGAGGACCTGGATTCGATTCCTAGTATCCACATGGCAGTTAACAGCTGTCTATAACTCCAGTTCCAGGGGATCTGAGGCCCTCTTCTGACCTCTTTGGGCATTGCATGACACAGGTGCAACTTACATACATGCAAGCAATACACATAAAATAAAAATAATAAAATACTGCAAAATTATCCATTATCGTGTATTTGTATATGCTGTGAGTCAAGTCTTCTGGCAGAGGAACTCAGATTGCTAGATATATGTGGCAAATGCTTTTACCCACTGAGCCGTCCTGCTAGCTTTTAAGTGGGCTGAGACTCAAGTGGTATCTTGTAGCTTCCTGTGGTTTTCAAAGTCTTGTTGGTTCTTGTTCATCCTCCCTCCCTCTGCCCTCCTTTATGCTGTCCCTCCCCCTCTCCTTCCTTTCATCTGCTTCCTCCAAAACTTCTTCCCCTAGACCATTCTCTTTTTTCCTCCTTTAGGAGGAAGTTTTGCAGGAATTAAATATGTTCCCTCAGCTGGATGACGAGGCCACAAGGAAGGCCTATTACAAGGAGTTCCGAAAGGTATGGGGATTCATTTCTTTCTTCTTTTGGTGTTTGGTTTTTGTGGGATTTAAAAAATGTTTTATTTATTATTTTATGTGTATGAATGTATTGCCTGCATGTATGTAAGTTCACCTGTGCTGTGCAATGCTCATGGAGGTCAGTAAAGGGTGTCAGAGGTCAGAAGAGGGTGTCAGATTCCCCTGGAACTGGAGTTATGGATGGTTGTTAGCAGCTGTGTGAGTGCTGGGAATCGTACCCAGGTCCTCTGAGAGCAAATGTTCTTATCCTCTTAATTGCTGAGCCTCTCTCCAGCCCGCATCTTTTTTCCTTTTCTTTCTTTTTGAGACAAGGTCTCTTTATCCCAGTTCTGACCTAGAACTGTATGGCAAGCTGGCCTTGAACTCCCTGTGGCCCTCCTGCCTCATAGTCCCAAGTGCTGAGATTATAGGTTTGAGCTACAGTGTTTGACTAACGGGTCCATTTCTTAAAGCTTTTTGGTGAGGGCCCCAGTCCATTTCTTCTCCTTCCCTGACCGAGATAGAGGCCTTTTCTTGCCTGCTACACAGTCTCTTCATCCTATGTATTCTCTATCCTGCAGGTGGTTGAATACTCTGATGTGATTCTAGAAGTTCTAGATGCCAGAGACCCATTGGGCTGCCGCTGTTTCCAGATGGAGGAGACTGTCTTGCGGGCAGAAGGCAACAAGAAATTGGTCTTGGTCTTGAACAAGATTGGTAGGTGTTGGGAAGGATTGGGTAATGTAGGGAAGGGATCAAGCTAAGGCTAGCACAGGCTAGGCACTGAAATCAAGCATCTTAGTAACATTCAGAATTGTCATGCATAATAGGAATTCTTGTTCCAATTTACAAAATCGGAAGTATTGCCTGATATACATACACACAAATACGTACAGAGTATATGTAGCACGATGAGGGGTGGAACCTAAGCCTGTTTGCCTTTGAGCCCCCTTTTCTTGGAATTTTGAGCCATTTTTATAGCAAGACAGTCTTGGAGACCTTTGTACCCCAAGCTAGAACCCAAAGTCTGGGACAGGAGTCTGTCAGGTGTGGGTTTCACCCCACTTTTGATATTTTCTCTGAGATAGCAGACAGGTCCTACCACTTGAGAGCTTTTTTTTCTCTGACAATAAATGGGTTCATGAATGTTCCAGCCTCACAGCTTTGTTGTGAGACTACATCCCAAATCATAGATATCCTTAGTGATGAGTTTTGTTGACATTTGACTCAGCATAGAATGATCCAGAGAGGGGATGGGAAGTATGATCTTTAGAAGGCCTCTGGTAGCCTGGGCACCCTGACAGGAAGCAGATGTCTGAGATCATATGACTAGTTTGCATATTTTCTTCAAGAGAACTAGCCTTCTCAGGGAGGACCAGCTGGTTCCATGGACAAAAGTGTCCTTTCTTTTTTTTTGGTCTTTTTTGAGACAGGGTCTCACCTGTAGCCCCAGCCGGCCTGGAACTCGCTGTGTAGACCAGTCTGACCTTAAACTGCCTCCTGAGTGTTGGGACTAAAGGCGTGTGCCATCATGACCAGCTCAAGAAAGACTGTTCTAACTCCATCCTGGGGACTAGGCAGGGACTGATAGAGCCAGAGGAGAGACCTGTTGGCAGGAGGGACCTAGACTTGGATGTACATGGATGTGTCTTTGGGTGAAGTCATGGGGGTAATGTTCTTACCAGCCCCATTTGTTCCTGTTTTACCCAGACCTGGTTCCCAAAGAAATTGTGGAAAAGTGGCTGGATTACCTTCGCAATGAGCTGCCAACTGTGGCTTTCAAGGCCAGCACACAGCATCAAGTCAGAAATTTGGTAAGTTTGGGGTCAGGGTATCTAGCCTCTTTCATTGTGGCTTAGACCCAGGGTTGTGGATGTTATGACTTGGACTGGGCCCTCTGACTCTTTAATAATTGAATTGGGGTTTCAGCTTGGAGGTTTTTTTCTCTACTGGGTAACTTGTTAGCTTTAATTTTAATTTACTCCTTCCTATATAATTGCTGTTCAGGAAGCATACTTTTTCCAGCTGTGAAGATGTAATCATACATACTGTCTATTGGAGATTTGGAAAATAGTGTTAATTACATGCTAACTCTTCAAAAACTATATTGTTCCATTCATTTTTTTCCTCTTTAAAACAGTATGGTCTTGGGAGGCAGAGGCAGGCGGATCTTTGAGTTCAAGTTCAGCCTGGTCTACATAGTGAGTTCCAGGACAGTTGGGGCTACAAGGAGACCTTGCCTCAAAAAGACAAAAAAAAAAAAACCCAGTATGGTATTTTCTATTGATATAGAAATAACATTTTCTAACTATTACAAACTATTAAAGTATTGCAGTAACATTGGTTATTTTTAGGGAGATAAACTGGGTGTTGTAGGACATTTTGCACCAGGTATTAAACTTAGTATTTTTTCTTTTGCAATACTGGGAATGGAACCTAGGGCATTTTGCTGTGCAAGTGCTCTACCGCTGAGCTACACCTCAGTCCCTTGTTTCCAGTTTTTCATCATTATAACCAGTGCTTCTATAAGGTTCTTTGTACATATCTCCCTAGCATGTAGGCAGGTGTGGATTAAGTACTGAATGATGATGTGGCTGCATCATACATAGACTTTATGCATTTGATATTTTCTTTTTTTTTGGTCTTTTTTGAAACAGGGTCTCCCTGTAGTTCCAGCTGGCCTGGAATTCCCTATGTAGGCCAGGTTGGCCTCGATGTAGGATGAAAAGTGTGCGCTACCATGTCCTGCTTTTGCTATAGTCTTGCCAACACTTGATAGCATTAAATTTTGTAGACATACTTAATATTTTATTGTGTAATATAATCAATACCAATTGTAAATACTAGTTCTAATGATGTGTTGTTAGTTAGCTTGAGTTACATAGGACAATATTTGCCTATATATAGTATTATTGTGCAATATTCTTTAAGGAAACAAAGACAAGAAAAAGCATCAGGGCCTAGTAAGTTGGAACCCACCGTGATTAGATCTCATTAAACTTTTTATTCTTTTGTAGGCATGCCCGTTTTTATTCCCAGGTGTATTTTTTTCATTCTGTCTTAAATCTGCCTTTTCCAAAAAGAAATCCCTATTTAAATTGGGTATATTGAATGTGTTTAGACAGATAGTCTTTTTGGCTCCCCCCACATGTAGTCCTGGGGATCAAACCCAGGGTGTTGCGCCTTCTAGGCAAGCATTCTACTTCTGAGCTACACAGCCCAGCCCAACGTTTTTGCCTTTTTTGATGGCAAAGACATAAAAACAACCTTTGGAGCAATTATATTTTACCTCAAGCATATACTTCGTGGGTTTTTTTCTTACTGATAAAAATACTTAGGTTAATTCCAATTTTGTGGCATTCAAATTTTGTGGTCAGTAAGGGAAGAGGAAGAGGAAAGCCGTTCTGATCAGGGGAGGTGGCATAAGAAATAAAAGTATGGAGGCTGGGATGACCCTGTCTTGTTTGAGGGGTCAAGGGAAGGTCAACTTTGGGTCAGATACCCTCTCATTTCTGCGCAGGCAGAGAGGTCAGGTTTCCTTTTGGTATACATCAGACACTGAGGCTCAGAGATGGGAAATGGTTTTTCTTTATGGACCTGTGAGAGGTAGAGCTAGAAATCAAACTGTAGTTTGCCTAGAGCCAGGATGTCATCATGCCTCTGCTGTGGGGGGCAGGGAGTGGTCAAAAGATGCATATTTGGAGGCTGGAGCAGGGACAGAAAATGAGAAACACAAAACACAGAAACTGGAGACAAAGAAGATCCAGGAAGTAGCAGGTGTTTGGGGCCTATGTAAGAAAGCAGTGAGTTTAGAGATTACAGGGTGATCCTGCATGCTGCTCTACAGGTTGGAAGTCTAGGCTCAGATTGCATCTTCCATATGATGCCTGTTCTGTAATGACCCTCATTTTATAGACTCGGTGTAGTGTTCCAGCGGATCAGGCCCCTGAATCGCTGCTGAAAAGCAAAGCCTGTTTTGGAGCTGAAAACCTCATGAGGGTCTTGGGGAACTATTGCCGCCTGGGTGAAGTGCGCACCCACATTCGTGTGGGTGTTGTAGGTAAGGCTGGGCAAATAAGGATGAGGCCTAGGCTCCTTTCTTGGGCAGTGACTTTGCTGAGGGAAATGGTCCTGGGAATGTTGTGTTGCCTCTTTGGGACAGAAAGGAGGGGTCCAAGAAGGGTTTCAGAATTTATAATTTGGCTAGTGGGACGGGGCAGGCATTTTCATAATTATTACTACATATTGACTATTAGTACCAAATACATGGTGCCAAGGCATTCCACATTGTTAGAGCTGTGGGAGGGAAGCATGACCAACCTCCCTCTTACAGATGAGGACACTGAGACCTGCAAAAGGGAAAAGGGCCTGTGGAACTCAATCCTGTGGGGAAACAAGGTAGAGCTTAGTCCTGGACCTTTCTGAAACCCACAGTGCTGTGGGAAGGATCGTGAAAGGGGAATTGGGGAAATTGAGAGGCAGGGACAGATAGGTTATCAGGGAGGGAAAGAAAAGCCAAGACACATTGAAGAGAATTGTACAAAGAATATATAAAATAGAAAGAGCAGGGGAGTCAGATTTCAGAATTGCTGGATAATAATAAAAAAAAAATTATTTTTAGCCGGGCATGGTGGCGCACGCCTGTAGTCCCAGCACTTGGGAGGCAGAGGCAGGTGGATCTCTGTGAGTTCAAAACCAGCCTGGTCTACATAGTGAGTTCCAGGACAGCTTGGGCTACAGGGAGACCCTGCTTCAAAAAGACAAAAAAAAAAGACAATTTTAAATGGCAGCGTCATATAGAAAAAGATATCCATAAGGAACGTGAAGAAATGTTTCTTCCAAAAGAGACATTAAAACAGAGCTGGTAAACCAGACCTGTAATGGGCAACTTGTCTCAAAAAAAGAGTGAGAAGAGGGCTTGCTCAACATGTGAGACCCAGGATTGAGTCCCCAGTGTTGCAAAAATTTAAAAAACAGGTACACATGTAGACATGTACCTGCATAAGGGGATGTAAAGAACAGACCCCCCCCCATATATGTACATGCTTAGATATGCATATTGAAATAAAGAACATACTGGAATGCAGACAGATGAGAGACCTAGACATAGAAGAATATAACATAGGCCTATGTACACATAGATTTTTAGACATACATATATACTAATATATGGAGTCATGTACAGGCCCAGAGAGGGCACATCTGCAGACAGAGACAGACTCAGAGGCAAAATGCGGGTAGACCAAGTCTTCCCACACTCACCTCAGGTTGCTCCCCCAATGCAAATAGAGCCACAGGGAGACTCAATGTGTGCCCAAATACACTTAACCTGCAGATAGAACCTAGAGTCACAGAGAAAGGCAAATAGACATACCCATGGTGAAACAGAAATTTGTATGGAGAGAATTAAAGACAGTGAGGGAAATACACAAAAGGAAAAAAGGCCATCTGAAACCTGAATAGAGCATATCTACAGACAGGCTTCAGAGAGAAGGAACATAGAGGCCGTGTGCTCAGAAGTGGAATTGGAGTGTAGAGAATCGAATGAAAAACATTTTTAGATACTGATGCTGAGAAACAGTTGTGGGAGTAATAGACCAAGAGGGAGAGATCCAATAAAAAAGGAGGAACAGTCACATTTGAATTCAAGTGACCAAGAGACACACAGAAATGTATAGATTTTGAAGTACCAGAGCAGAGGTCTTCCCAGGCACACGTAAGAGAGTAGTACATATTGGTAAACTTGAGTACTTACAGAGAGAGGACAATAAGAATGACAGACCAGAGAGACAGAAACTCACAAAGATATACCCAGACATAGAGGTGCACAGGTGCTCCAGTATAGACATTACAGGCAAAGACAGCTGCATAGAGAGAAGAGCATCTAGAGAGGAGTAATTCCCAAGGGAATTGCATGTCAGAACAGATGTGTCTGTTTCACAAACACTTATTGATATCCGCCTTTTGATGGATCATGTTTGTGAGAACTTATATGGAGCACCTCTTCAGGCTGGTGGTAGTGGCAAGTGGGTTTCACATTTAGAGACAGGGACATGTATGCCGAGCATGCTCACAAAAGGAGGAGAGAACTAGAAAGGCAGTTAGGATATTGGCCAGGGCCTGGGGTGGGAAGACAGGGGGCCAGGCTCTACTTTCGGCTTGTCCATGACCTGATCACTGCCCCTGCCAGGCCGTTTTACACAGACTGGCCTGAAGTCCTGTAAGTACTTTCTGTCCTTAGTGTTCTGCTGCTACTTTGCAGGCCTTCCCAATGTGGGGAAGAGCAGTCTGATCAATAGCCTGAAGCGCAGCCGTGCATGCAGTGTGGGAGCGGTTCCTGGTGTCACAAAGTAAGCATTCACCCAGTCTCTTAAATACCATTCCTCCATAACTCATGCCTGCAGTCCCTGTCTCTTGGGTAATTGTGGACCATCCTGTGATTCATTCCCTGGGTGTAGGAGTCCTGCTAGCAGCCCTCATTTACCTGACCCAATCCAGGTATAGGCCTGGCTCCCTGCTGGGTCATTCTTAACAACTACAAGATTGAGCTACTTTTGAGAAGCTCTCTGTTGCTGAGGCTTAAAGAGAGTCAGAAGCTTGCCTGAGATCCTGCAGATAAGTCACCTCTAGCAGAGGTTAGATTTTAGAATCAGTCCCAGGTCTATAGTGCCTCAGATCCCCCTGGTCCTGTATCTTCCCACTTCATTTAAAAGACATGCTCCCTTTTCTTCTTTTACCTCCCTCCAGCCTCCCCAGGCCCATTTGTGGCTAGATGTCAGATACATCTGGTCCTTGTTTCTCCTCTCTCCAGATTCATGCAAGAGGTCTACCTAGACAAGTTCATCAGGCTTCTGGATGCTCCAGGCATTGTCCCAGGACCCAACTCAGAGGTGGGCACCATCCTGCGTAATTGCATCCATGTGCAGAAGCTGACAGATCCTGTGACCCCAGTGGAGACCATCCTGCAGCGCTGTAACCTGGAGGAGGTATACAGCAGGGCCTCAGCGGATGTCCCATCTCACTACTCCAAAGGCCTTTCACTCTTTCTCATGACTTTTCTCCTTCCATTTGCTAGATTTCCAACTATTATGGTGTCTCTGGATTCCAGACTACTGAGCAATTTCTGACTGCAGTGGCCCACCGCTTGGGAAAGAAGAAGAAGGGAGGCATATATAGTCAAGAACAGGCTGCCAAAGCTGTCCTGGCTGACTGGGTGAGGTGAGGAAGGGGCTAAGCAGGAGGCGGTGTTCATTGAAGCCAGTGGGACAGCCTTGTCTTTGTAGATCCTAAGGGATAGCCAAAGAATTATGCATGCCTTGCTTAGGACTTTGTGCTTAGTGGTTATTGAGTTTAACCCATTGTTCAGAAACCACTGTCTGATTTTCTTGTCTTTACTGTTTTCTGTCTTGCAAGCTCATCTTTCAGTAGACCATTTGTTCTCTCAGTGACACCACCAATAATCTCTCCATACTCCCCAATACAGTGGGAAGATCAGCTTCTATATACCACCACCATCTACCCACAGTCTGCCCACCCATCTCAGTGCTGAGATTGTCAAGGAGATGACTGAGGTCTTTGACATTGAGGATACTGAGCAGGCCAATGAAGACACCATGGAATGTAAGTGTGGATGGGTGGGCACATATGGTTTTGTCCTAGTGGAGCCCAGACAAAATGTCAGATCACACATTCGCTTTCCCCTTCCCTGGGGCTACTTGGGCTTTACACAAGTTTAACTAATACGGAACTTAATTAATTGTCCTGCAAGGTTTAGCATTCTAATCTGGCCCATGAGGGTGGGAGTGGTGGTGTGGTGCTGATGATGATGATAGTGATGATGATAAACTTTTGGTAGGTAGGCTCTAAGTATCTGGTACCCCTTTAGGTGCTCTGGAAATGGGAGGCTCCATTCCTGTCTTTTGAGACCTGAAGTGAATTGAAGCATCTCTTTCAAAATCCCTTTCTTGGTTGGGCATGATAGCATAGGCCTGTCATGCCAGTACCTGGGAAGCTGAGGCATGAAGATCAAGAGTTCCAGCCCAACCTGGGCTATATAGCAGAGACCCCGTCTCAAATAAACATCCAGTCCCTCTCCCTATCTCCCTTCTTCCTAGTGCCCTAGGCTTTAAAAAAAAAGTGTTGACTATTAAACCTAGGGCTTTGTGCATGTTAGGCAAGCACTCTACCCATTAAGGTACATCCCTAGGTGCTCTAGGCTTTTTCAGACAGGGTCCTACTATGTGACCCTGTCTGACCTGTTATTCACTGTGTAGCACAGGCTGGCTTTGAACTTGAGGCAGTCCTGCAATATCAGGTGTATACCACCATGCCTGGCTGCCCTAGTATTTCCCACAGCAATTTCATGTGCACTCTTAGAGTTTTCTTTTTACCTCCACTGACTACTGATATAACTAAGTCAAAAAAGGTCATATTTGCTGGGTGTGGTGGCACACGCCTTTTATCCCAGCACTCAGGCTAGGCAGAAAATTAAAAAATGTCAAGCCAGGCATGGTGACCCACCCCTTTAATCCCAGCAGTCAGCAGGTAAGTGGCAGATAGATCTCTGTGAGTCCAAAGTCAGCCTGGTCTACATAGTAAGTTCTAGGCCAGCCAGTGTTACATAGTGAGACCCTGTCTCCAAAAAAAGATCATATTTAAAATGCCAAAAGGCATATAGACAGTGACACACAGTGGTGTCCCTGGCACTAACTTTCCTGAAGTCTCCCAGCTCAGCATAGGTAGGTGGTTATAAGTTTGGGCTGCCTGCATTCAAATCCAAACCTTGCTCTTCATTAGCTGTATGATGCTGAACAAGTCTGTTGTGTTCATTTCTCTATCTTGGTGTTCTCATTTGTAAAATGAGAACCGTAACACCCATTCCATAAGGGTATTGTAAAGATTTACTTCATTTGTAGGACAATGCTCAGTGATACAGCGTGTGCTTAGCATGCTCAAGGCCCTACTTTGATCCTCAGCACCAAAAACGGAGTGAAAAACACAGAACAATAGATGCAGCAGATCAGTGCTCAGTAAGTGTTAGCTGGCATATACTGAAGTGTGACTTAGAAAATGGTTAGAAAGTTTCTTAGCCACTCCTATTTGTAGCCCTGTCTGTGGCTCCCGTTTCTCTACCTGCCCAAGCAAGGTGCCCAGTGTTCTCTGGGCTGCCATGTACACTCGGAGGCAGTTGAGAGAGTCCTTGGCTGGCCTTACTGGTTTCTATTTCTCTTGAGGGCCAGTCATTTTCCTTCCCTGGGGTTTTAAGAGTCTTAGATTACAAATGAGGGCAAGAGCACTTGCCTGTTTCCCAGTTTATTCCACAAGTGACTTTGGGCATGGCAGCCCCCTTGCTGAACTTCAGTTTCTGCTTCTGTCAAGTGGGCAGTTGAGAGGGATTTGAGCTCATGTTCCTGTGGTGATGCTTCACCCTGGCTGGAGGGGTATCATCACTGCAAATGCATTTTGGAATAATATTTGAAGTGTAGGGAGTTGAGACAAAAGTGAATAGGGAGAAGTTAGTGGTAAAAGGCATTTGGAGGAATTGGTGCTGGCATTGGATCTTGAGTGAGTAGGAATTAACACATTCAGGGAAGGTGTGGGGATAAAGTTGGTAGAAGCGTGTATGAGGGTAGTGAGGGTAGTGAGGCACAAAACACTGGGCATGTCTAGGTCCCAGCAGAGGCCAGTTCTAGGCAAGGGGCCAGAAGAAGGAGAGAGCCCTGGACCTAGGAAGGGGATCCGCATGGTTATGTGGATCACATTTGAGCCAGTATAGGTGTCCTATCAGGTTTTACCTCCTATTAAGTAGAGCTTGGGCAATTTTGTTTCTCACATGAGCAAGCTGAGGCTTCAAGGCCAACTCCCAGCAGGGAGGTGTCCTCTAACATTCATGCTTTTGTTTTGCTTTCTTTTTTGAAACAGGCTTGCCATGTAGCTCAGGCTGGTCTTAAACTCATGATCCTCCTGCCTCACTTTCCTGAGTGCTAGGATGACAGGTGTGCACCACCTGGTTTAGTATTTCGACTTTTAATTCTTTGTTATGTAGTCTTTCAGCAGAAAACCTCCCTAACCCTCGCTTCCCTAGAAGTACCCACGTGTCTTTTCTGATTAGGGGACTGGCAGCAGGGAGAAGCCAGGGCCCTGACAGTGATGTTGGTTGTGTTAAAGGCTTGGCCGTGGGAGAATCTGATGAGCTGTTGGGTGACATGGACCCACAAGAAATGGAGATCAAGTGGCTCCATTCTCCGATGCTGAAAATAGCAGATGCCATTGAAAATAAAACCACCGTGTATAAGGTACCTCTCCACTTGTTCATGGTAGTTGTATCCTCTGCACAAGGTTCTGGGAATAAGTCAGTTCCTGCTACCCATCTCCTCTAAGAGAGAGATGTGTCACTCACATGCTCCCTGTTGTGGTCTCTTGAATGCCTAACTTGGTGTGTCATTTGCCAAACAATGACATATCTAAGGAGGAGGTATGCTCTTCCAAGCAGTTTTCCCAGCCCTGATTCCAATCCATAGAACAGGTGTCTCCATCTTATTCACCTAGTTGTTCAAGTAGCGGGTGATTCTCCCCTGACTCATATCTGAAATCCATAAATTGTTAGTTACCAAGTCTATGTCTAAATCTCTTGAGAAGTTACCAGTTTTTTCATCTAACTCTGGAGTATGCTTCTAGTCCTTAATTCACTTGGACATGTGTTCTGTGGTTTCCTTTGTTGTTGTTTTATTGAGACAGGGTCTCAGTAGCCAAGGTTAGCTTTGAATACCTAATCCTCTTGTTTCCCTACTTCTCAGTGCTGAGATTATAGGCACGTAGCACCACCCCTGTCACTTTCCCTGCTTAAACACCCTTTCGTGGCTTCCTATTCAAGACCTTCATGGTCTCCATGATTCCAGGTTTGTTTTTTTTTTAATTCTGCTAGTTTACTTAGAAATTTGTAAACAAATTACAAGGACAAAAATTGAATCCTTTAACACATGGATGTGTACCTTTTTGTATAATTATACATTGATTTATGAACTTTTAGATTAAAAAATTATAAAATCAGGAAAATGTAATTATTTAAACACGGTAAATGAACTTAATGACTGGATAGAGAAGTGTGCTTCATGACTTAGAGAAACTGGCAGTTATAGCTTCTGTTAGGAAAATTCTAGAACATAGACAAGTATCTATTCCCAGGTTTGTTTTTTTAGCATCTTTTTTTCAATCACCCTATCTCTGCTCTTCCACAATATTCACACTATGGATTTCAGACACTAAGGAGGGCAGGAGAGAACATGGGGACAGCCTGGATCTTACGGCCCTAAACTATACTCTTTGGTCAGAGAATTTTCTTTTAAGCCACATCTTGAAGGCTGAGTTCTCTCTTGAAGGCTGAGTTTTCTTGGCAAGAGCTCAGCCCATATCCATAGCAAGGCTCAAAACGATGAGAGCCTGGCATTTGGGAAAATTGCTAGTGCTATGAAGTGGCTAGAATAGAGATGAGAAAGAATAGTCTGGTGTCTGGTCATGGAATGTCTTAAGCTTGACTTCAAACTTTAGGCAATAGGAAAGCACTGAAAGTTGGTTATTTTCATGTCTGGGTCAAAGCTCCTTCCCCATTTTGTTTATTGAAGTTAAAAAAAAGTAACAGATGAACAAACTGAGGCTAAGGAGCTAGCTAAACACCAGCTAGGATATGGTGGAGCCAGAAATGGAGCTTAGTTCTATTCAAGCTTGTCCTTGCCTCCTATGCAGAAATGTTTGGAGTTCAGGACTTTACCATTGTTGTTTCTGTACTCAGATTGGAAACCTCACTGGATATTGCACCAATCCAAACCGTCATCAGATGGGGTGGGCTAAACGCAATGTAGACCACCACTGCCCGAGAGACAACCGCATAGTGGATGTCAGTTCAGTGGACCGTCGCCCGATGTTGCAGAGGATCCTGGAGACAGACCCTCTTCAACAAGGCCAGGTTCTGGCATCTGCCTTAAAGAATAAGAAGAAATTACAGAAGCGTACAGGTAGGGTACCTGACCACCCCTGTGCTCTGAAAAATGCCTCATCAGAGCTGGAATTAGGGACTTGGATGAACATCTCCACGTGTCTACCTCCAGGCAAGAGTTGGAGGGGTTGGTTGGGTTAGAGTGCTCAGCTACTAGTAAGTGGTTCTTAAAACTTTAGTTTGCATCAACATCACCTGGAGCGTTTGTTCAAACAGATTTCTGGGGACCACAGTTGTAGAACCACTGGTCTCATCTGTTTATCATCTATCGAGTGCTTTCTGTCTGTTAGGTAGCATGCATATATATCATTTGTACTGTATTGGTAAGCAATACACTAAAAACTCACAGAATATACAGTAAAATCTCTCTTTAAGGCCTCTCCCTTATGCAACCAGTTAATTTCTTACCTTTCTTAAGATAGATATATACATAACTCATATATTCTTTGTCTTCTTCCACACAAATGCTAGTCTGCTGAGCATACAGTTTTTGTCTCATCATTTTTCTATCTTATGTCGTAGGAATATTTGCACATTAGTACACAAAAGAACTTCTCTTTGTTTTAATGGTGGTCCTTTGTGTAGTTGGCCCATGCAGATTTTTAGGGTCTATAGATGGCCCATGCAGATTTTTTTAGGGTGTATAGTTGGCCCTCCATATCTGTGGCTTCGTGCTTACAGTCAATTGAGTGCAAACGAGAAATTTTTTAATTGCCCCTGTACTAAATACATGTAGGCTATGTTTCTTGCTACTGTTCTGTGACACAGTATAGCAGCTGTTAGTGTTTATATTGTAGTAGGTACGATATAAGTAATCTAGACACGTATATAGGAGAATGTATGTAGGTTACATACGAAGTCTGTGTGTTATCCTCCATGAATACTGAGGAATGTGTGTATGTATTTACCTTTATTAACCCACTGGAAATGTGTTTTCTTCTTTTGATAAGTGAAGAAACTGAGGTCCATAGCTGCAACACATTCAAAATGGCCAGATATCTATTAATTGGTGGTCACAAAATACAAATGTTGGTAGGGTTGATTGACTCTGTCAACCCTCATCTTTTAACTAGGCCATATTTTATAACCATCTGACTCCTTCCTAGTCCTGGAAATCCAGAGATGAATTGCCCTTGAACTCCTGATCTTGTTTGGGTGTAGAGAGGGAACAAAACAGACATTGACAGTGCAGAATGATCATTCTGAGGACACATACAATGAGCACTGTGAGGGAGCCTAACTCAGCCTGGAGATTAGTGGTTAGGAGTGGTTAGGAGTGATCAGCAAAGGCTTCCTAGAGAAGTCTCAGGGAATTCTGAGGAACAAGTGTGTGTGGAAGGTAGAACCTGTGGGTGGTAAGCATTCAAGCTCAAAGCCACTACTACTACCATGTTTCTCCTTTGCTGTGTGAGCTTTGTTTTATGGGGGAGTGCTAAGTTCACACAATAAAAGAAAGTTATTATTTTGGTACTCAGAAGACACAAAAATACTTGCAGTCCTGAGTCTGAAACTCTGAGATTGAAGCTATGCCGGGGTGATCACTTCACAGATGAATGGATATACCTGTTAGGTTTGAATGGCAGCTTCAATAGCCCATGAGTTTTATTTAGGGTTTAGAGGGGTAACTGAGCCGGTTTGAGAGGTTAGTATAGGTCTGGACAAGCCAGCCACTCCAAAATTACCTGTATTTCTCCATCTACAGATAAAATTGCCAGCAAGCTGTCTGATTCCATGATGTCTATCCTCGACCTCTCTGACAACTGTGATGACTGTGCTGGTGACTGATCAGCTGATCTTCCTCCTCTCCCACTCCAAAGCATTGCTTTCTCTGAGATGGGAGAATGCAGATGGAGTTTGAGTCTCCCTGATGCACCTGTGTATTAGAATACCTCCCATGCCATGTCCCTCCTGCCATGGTGCCCTCCATGCTCTCCAGTCACAAAAAAGTCTCAAGGTCTGGAGTTGCCAAATCTAATACCCTCTATCATATCCTTACTGTTTTTTAAATGAATTTTGTTTGTTTTTGTGGTACTAGGGATTGAACATGTTAAACAAGAAGCCTGCCACTGAGCTGTATCTCCCAACTTTTTTTGGAGAAAGGTTCTTGCTATGTAGCCTAAAACTTGTAGTCTTTCTACCTCAGCCTCCCAAGTAGTGTAATTGCAGGCTTTTGCCACCATTCTCAGCTCCCACTGTATTTTACAAGATAAATAAAATATCAGAACAGTCTAGGAATTGTGACAGCAAACCTGTAATCCTAGCACTTGGGAGGCTGAGGTAGGAGGACTGCAAGTTTTAGGTCAGTGTGGGCTACCTGGTAAGGCCTTTTGTCTCACAAAACAAAACAAAACAAAAAACAAAACAGAACACAGCAGAACACAACACAACAAACAAAACCTCCAAACAAATCAGCAGAGTCCAGGTGCTAACAGTGTATTTCTTGATCTCAGTTCCTCGGCCTCTGTGGGTAGGGCTGATAAGAGTTAACCTCACAGAACATTCTGAACAGCTAGAGGCTAGACTGCTGGGAGTCCTAGGGTTCCCTGGGAGGGTTATGATTTTTTTAACCACTTCACAAAAGGTCTCAGTGTGCCAAGGCATTCCTGCAGTAGCCTTCACCAGGCATCTTCCAAGTCAGTGGGTAGGTCCTCATCTGGGTAGCATAGGAGTAGAGAAGAAAAATGATGAGTCTTCTATGTCTCTGGAGGGTCTGGGGATAGGGTTAAGAAAACAAGCAAGCTTGGCTAATACTGAAGTGTGATAGGTACTATCTTGTTTGCATAAAGAGAAAACAACTGGGTAGCAAGGGAGGCTGAGTACTTTAGGGGAAAATCTCATCTGGTATTGTTGTGAATATGGAGTAATCCTTTTTAAATAAAATACTCTGGGCTCTGCCTTCATGTGATATTGCATTACCTAGTGTCAACATTTGAATTCCATGATTCAGGAGAGTATTAGTGCTATTTATTCAGAGTGGTCCATCCTTGAGAGAATTGTTGGAAGTACATCAGTCTACTTTCTTGGTGTTTGGAAGCCACTCCGTTAAAGTATACTTAACTACCATTCTGGGTGACCTCCACCCCCCTGAGCAAAGGCAGTGGGCTCAAGCAGTCCTAGGGACTCTGTTAGCTTTCTGTCATTATAACAAAAACTTGAGTTAATCAAGTTGTTTCAGTTTAAACACAAGTTTGCTTAGGAGAACAAATTGATAGTATACACAGAGATTGGTATAGTAGGCCAACTTGACATAGAGGCTGAGATTGTAGCAGTTAAGGTAATCATTTTCTAAAGAAAATTTATTTATTTTGACTCATAGTTTGAGAAGTTTCAGCCCATGATTAAATTGGCCCCATTGGCTTGGCCCTATAGTGATGTGGCATATCATGGTAGGTGTATATGGTGGAACAAAACTTAACATACTATGAAGCAAAAACGTGGTAGGATCCCACTGTTTCATGGCATGATTGTGATGGTGGAAGCATCTCCACTAGGCCCTCCTTTTTTAAAAATTATTATTATTATTATTTTTTTATGTGTATGAGTGTATTGCCTGCATGTATGTGAGTGCACCCGTGTCGTGCAATGCCACAGAGTTCAGAAGAGGGAGTTGGATTCCTCTGGAACTGGAGTTAAGGATGGTTCTTAACCGCTGAGCCATCTCTCCAGCCCTGGTCCTCCTTTTTTGAAAAAAATTATTTATTTAATAACCATATAATTAGAAGAAGCATTTCATTACAACAGCATTGATATATTCAATAACAATTTCCAGAGCTAAGATGCATCT